GGGGGGGCGGGCATCACACTTATCCTCATGAAATATTTGATATTTCTATCACATTGAGAAAAAAATGTCGTGAGACTCACATCCAACCCATGAGTTAAATAGGGTGACTAGACCAGATCAAGCTTCACTACCAATGTGAGACTTACACCTATTTCGATAATGGTTGAGGAATAGAAAACCTTACTCCATTTAAGGTGATCATAGTCCTATTCTCAAGATTCACAGGACTTGACTTGAACAAATTAGGAAGGAAAGCCAGAGGACTCATATCCAACCTAGATGCAAAAAAAGTGACTAGGTGATAAAAGAATGTCTGTGACTCACATTCAACTTGAGAGATAATGGGGGAGATCCGATGAGGAAGGAATGTCAAAAGACTCACACCCAACCTAAGAAGTGATTGAGAAGATGATGTTTTACTCCATTTAAGGTCGTCTTACTCCAAACCTCAGAAAAGATTTATATACTTGTCACATTGGGAAGGAATGCCAAGAGACTCACATCCAACCCAAGATATGAACATGGTGACTAGATCAAGAAGGAATGCTAAGGAACTCACGTCCAACCCAATACTAGTTGACGAATAAGATACTTCTTTTGAGATTATTTTACTTCTACCCTCAAAGTATTGAGTTGGGGATGGACGAAGACAAAATGGTTTCTGCAAAAGATTAGGATTTTATGAAACTAAAATCAGCTAAACCATTCTACACAGAGCGAAAGACTAAGCATTTCTACAGGAAGAAACCCTTAGTTGGGAAGAGAAATGACACTAGTAATAGATTGAGAAGACTTAATATAACTAGGTTGAAAGAAGAGCTTGAACTTTGAATTTTGATTGTTCCAAACTTTATTTGTTTATTTGATTTCATTTTATTTTGTTCTGATTTATTTGATATGTTTTATTTTAAATTTTTTTAGTACTTGATTTATTTTTGTTTTTATTTTGTTTCAAATTTGTTTTTGTTTTATTTTGTTTTGTTTATTTTCTTTGTTCATATTTGTTATGTTTTTTTTTCATTTTTATATACTTATTTATTTTTCTTATGTCGATCAACTTTCTTATGTTTATACTGACGATGACCATATTGTTCGACATTGCAATCAATCGCGAAGACCTGCATTCAAACTAGTTAGAAACAATTGAATGTTACCAAACTTCAACTAAATGTTGGAAGATTTCTTCATTGATATCTTCAAAGAATGTAGAATCATATGACTAGTATATAGAGATAATAAAAGAAATCTCTATAATAGTCTATCAAAGAAATATCATATGATATATATCCAAAAACACTATTTATCTATCAATATTTTGTGTCATCATCATGTGTCATATCAATGTTGTATATGTACATCAATATATGATTGAGTATCACTTTATGTATCAATGATTGTATATCTGTACAACTATACATCACTATATCTCCTTTTATTTCATCGGTTTATCAAAAGTCTCTATGTATTAATGTACCAATTTACCAGTGTACCAGTATCTGTATATCAGTATATCTGTATTAGAAGAGCAGTCAACTTTAAGTATCCATTTATCAAAAGTTGTGCAAAAGTAGCTCATTCTTTAAGCTATTATTCAAAACTTACTAAATTATCTCAAGACATCTTCCAAGCTCCATCAAGTACACAAAGAGATGTGTTATTTCCGAACACAAAATAGCCTAAGGAGTTGCATCCCCTCTAGTAACTCAAGTTATGGGCATTTAAAGTGGTTGGGTGATTGGAAGTTGGTTGCAAGATGGGAGTTGGTTACGGTAAACAATTTGGCTTGAGTTCATCAAATAGAGAAAAACACAAGGAGTTCAATGTTGTAAGTGGTTTTGATCAAATCAAGCTCCATGTTAAGATATTTTGACTCAAAGTGAGTCCAAATATTCAGGAGAGAGAAAATGATGGATTTCAAGTTGGATTTTTAATTAATTTTATTGGATCATATTATATACTTGAATTTAAAACAACATTAGTTGAAGTCCAAACTTGATTTGAGGTTATTTTGAGGTAGTTATTACCAAATTATCCCTTTACTATCAAAATTATAATTGTTCTCTTTGGTTTTAAATAAGGGTTCTCTCTGGTTTTAAATAATTGTTCTCTCTGGTTTTAAATAAGGATTTAAGGGTTCTCTTTGGTTTTAAATAAAAATTAGTTGTATTTAAAGTTTTTTTGATTAATTTTGATTTTTGTTATGTTAAATATCAGTTTTATTAAATTAGGGTTTATTCAAGACTGAGCTCAAATGATATCCTATTCAGCTTAAGTCAAGAAAATAGAGTTAACAAAAAATGAGATCAACAAAGTCGTCTGTTTCTTTTAAAAAGAAATGGATGACATCGGTTCTTCCTCCCCAAGGGGACAAGGAACGAATATAACCTGAAAAAATTTGAACGATCTCACAATCCTACAGGTGGATTAATGAAATAAAACTTCCAAAACCATGGTCCAACCAAAATGAAGCTATTTAACAACTAAACTTTTCTAGAATTTGAAAACCTCCTAAACTAAGGCCCGAAATCTAAGTTGAAACTAATACCTTGATTCGGGCAGGGTCTTTTTGACCCAAAGATTGTACTATGTTCGATTTGATCCCACAAACATTGTTTAAGCACCAATTGTAAGCTCCAAGTACTTCTTGCGGAAATTCGATCGGATCCATCCATGGGTTGGTCAAAGATTGAGTTAGAGAGTTCAATAGGATGAGAATTAAGTAGGTAAATGGGTTTGCACACTTGTAAAGTGTGAAGGAGGTTTTTAATGGAGAATTAATAGAATGGATGATAAGATCGGCAAAGGAATTGTTTGGGATGGTGAATTCAATGGAGAATTGAAGGCGTTAGGCTTTAGATATAATGGGAAATCATAAAGGAGTTTGCATGTGAGATTTGGGAATTGATTTTGACAGAAATTCGCCAAGGCTTCAAGAGCATTCATACCAAACTAGAGAGGAGGGGGTATTTATAAGAGTGGCTTGGGTTGGGTCCATGCTTGGGTCTAGGAATGTGGCTTGAGCATTGGTTCTAAATGGCTTGAAATAAGCTTGTAATAGGCTTAGAAATTTTAGAGAAAGAATTGGCTTAGAAAAGAGCGAAAAGGGTTGGACTTGGTGTAAAGAAGTGAGTTTATGAGTATTTGTGAAACTATGTGGTTGTATCATCATCATTCCAAGTGAGAAGG